AAAAGTAAGTATACCTATAATAGGTACATACTTACATCATACATCTGAACAAGACAAAAAACATAGCCTTATATATTCGAAAGTTATAAAAATAGAATGAAAAGTGACACGTATATTCTAAACAAATAAACAAAAAAAAACTTTAATCCAACATTATTTTACTTATTTGAGAAATAGGTATCCAAGAAAATAGTTATTCGTTTTACTAGGCAGAAAAGTAGTAAATCTACATTTGCTGCCGTGTGAAACATCGAATTTTTTCTCCAAATGATATAAAACCCATTTTGTGTAATTTTTTTATTGAAAACTCTATCATTTTGTGTTCACCCAATGTCAGTGTCAATTTTGATTACTAATTTCATTAGAATTTCTTGGAAAGTTGCATAGCAACAAACTTTTTTGCCGAGGCAGTAAAAGTACACCTTTTCTTCCTGCTAAGCGGTAGAGGACAAGCCACTATCCCTGCCGCTTGGAGAAAGAAACCATTATCAGTCAGATCAGCCTTCACGATCGCAAATGTTTTTGTTTTTCACTCAGTCGTTAAGACATAACAAACATGGTGCAGATTCATTAGATGTTTTTTTATAGAAAAATAGAATTCTTTCTAAATATGTTTTATTATGAATGAAATTCTCAAGTCTGCAGTCGGCACTCAGAAATATTTACCTGCGAGACTCTCGCACGAGACACGAGAAGTCTTGCACGAGACTCGAGACGAGACCAATAAAAGTCTCGTCTCGTCTTGTCCGAGTCTCGTCTCGAGTCTTGTCTCGAAAACGAGACGAGACCATGCGAGACTCTCGAAAACGAGACTCTCGCGGGCACCACTATTCACAATGCGACGGCACTATACGGCCATCATCCAGCAATAATGGTACTGAACAATATGGTTCTCAACAAATAAAACAATAAATCATGGTACTATACGATTTTCGTCAACGGGTTGGCAGAATCTGGAACATTTGTAGAACTTTTTCAAATTTGTAAATTGTTGTAACTTCAAAAAAGCTCTACAAATGTTCCAACCCGTTGACGGAAATCGTATATAGTATATACCATGATTTATTGTTTTATATGTTGAGTCCCATATTGTTTGGCACCATTGTCTGATGATGGCCGTAGTGCCGAAACCGGTTACTTTATACTGCAAATTTTTATATAAAGTGTGGTCGACCGACTTTGTGTTGCTTGTTTTTCTTTTGTTATATGCATATTTTACCATGTAGTGCCAGTCAGATGTAAAAAACATGTCACGGTTGGATGGTGTTAGCGCTCTTCTTGCAGAAGTGACTAGAGGTCGTGCTACCACCGCAAATGCGACATATGCATTGCATTCGACTGTACATATATGTACAGTACTTGCTCTATGCGCTTCAACTCACTTTGCTCAGACTATACATGTTTCATTTTTTTTGCCGATAATAATGTCAGATACCGGGAGACCGGTTATACAGGGTGTATCTAAATAACATCAAAAAAATTCGAGGGGTGTTTCCTTGTGATATTCTAGCAAATAGAGTTCATATATATAGGGTGGTCACATAAAAACCGGAAGTTTTTATTGTCCTCGTGGTTTCATCATTTCTCAATCGAATTCGAATTTCTTGGCGTCGTTTCATTGCTAAAGGGCTATAGTATACAGTGGAATATTTGAGAATTTCATAATGAACAAAAACAAGATGGCGGATTCTACCAAAGTAGTGTCATTTACAGAAACCGCTGGAGGAAAAGAAAATCAGATTTTTTCCAACCTGTACCGATGTCATCTTAGGCTATTCATTTCTGAACAGAATAAGTACTCGAACATCGAAATCGAACAAATAGTCCAGTTGAGTAGATACACTCATTTCTTTGCAATTTGTTATGTAGTGAATGTGCTAATCTCGTATACACGATTATTATTATTTTGCTTCAGGCTTCATGAAAATTCAATCGAATTTGGATTTCTTGGAGTTATTTCAGCTATAAAGAACTGTAGTACACATCAATGGAACATTTGAAAATCCAATAATTGAAAGAAACAAAACTTGGAGAATACAGAATTTTTGTGATTTTCAAAAATCTCTGGCGAATGAAAAAATATGTATTCTGCCAATCAGGACCGATACAATTTTAGATCATTGATTTCTAAAAACAATGAGCACTCGAACATCTGAATCGAACAATTAGTCCAGGAGAAACATCACCTTCTTTTTGGCAAAGTGTTCTGGGGTGAATGTGCCAATTCCGTGATAAGAATTTTACTATCAGTTTGTTTCTGGTTTTATCAGAATTCAATAGAATTTGGCTTTATTAATGCCATTCCAAAGCTGAATAGCTGTAGTACACAGTGGAACATCTGAAAATTTCATAATTGAAAAAAAAAAAAAAACGAAATGGTGGAGTAACCCTAACTTTCGTGATTTACAAAAACCGCTAGCGAATAGAAAAATGTTGATATTGACATCGAGATGTAAGTCCATGAAGATTGCGTGAAACCCTGAAAATATATACGAATGACATAATATGATATCGATAAATTTACCCACTGTGACGCCACTGGAAATATTATTTCGAATCTAATTGCACTAGAAGAAGCTCCATATTACTATTGACAAAACCACAACGTTTTATTGAAACCGATGAAAACACAATTAAGAAATGAATAGGAAAAAGATTTTTCATGGAAATATTAATACCCGGTATTTCAAAAACGAAGCAAGTTGGGACACATGTTTATATGAACTTTATATTAGTATATTCTGAACCATTTCAACTGCTCATATCTCCGAAACTATTCTAGTTATCGTTGTGCCGTTTGGATAAGACTATTTTGATATTTTTGAGTTTTCATTGACGGGTTCACCTCCTCAATAAGACTTCTTATTCTACCGGAAACATTTACATTTTTCAGGTGTATTCCTTTCTAACAATGTATTACAAGTTTATATACAGGGTGATTTCATGGAATAAAAAGTTGCCCAATATCTGCAAAATATGGCTTGTTTGTTCTCTAGTCTGGATGGATTCTCGATTCAGATTCAGATATGATTTAAAATAAGCAAATTGAGAATTGATATATTTTTATTCCATTTGGAGACAGGTACAAATGACAAAACAAAATCAGTAAATCAGTCATATATAGAGAATCAAAATAAATCACATTCATCGAAGGTTTTGCAGGGATTTGCCCTCCCCCTGATAATACACCACAGTTCATCGCACTGTTTTAACTGTTTAATTTTCATTATCATTGTCTCATGTGGTCAATTACCTACTTATAATGAACATTTCAGTGAATACGAAAACCACGCTGCGATTCGCTATTTTTGTGTCTTTATTTTTGGAAACTGAAATATATGTATGATTGATGATTCGCGAAAATGTTATATTATTATGCCTTGGTAGAGTGTGGAGTCTCATCGTTAATGAGGATATTGTTTTTTTTTTCATCGCAATAGTTTACAATTAACGTGAGAGAGTTTATGATGTTTTCTAAAATAATCTGTACTTGACTCTGTGCTATGTAGGTGTAGGAATACTTATTATTAGTTTTGGTTTATGTGTAAAATTTTGGTTCAAGAGTTTTATTCTTAATCAAATTAATAATTCAGGAGTAAATAGCTTCAGGGCCATTTCGAATAGCTCTGGGACCTCTTCTATTAGTACATATACATCAGGGTGGAGAATTCAACTGAAATAAATTCGCTATATAGCAGGCATCAGGGAGGTGGATATTGATGAGAGGAGATGAGTGGGTGAAAAACTATCTACGATAGCTACGATCGAGTTTCAGTCATGAAATTTTAAACTCCTTAGCTCAGTTGTGCATAGAGTCAGAACCTCGGTCAGAACTAATCAAAGAGATTTCATACGGCGATATAATATTATTGATGATTTTGCGAATTTTAAATCTCGCAAGAAGATAGGTGAATGTACGTAAGACTCTCATAGAGCTCTCATAACTTGATTCATTTCATTGTCATCATTAACCGGATTTTATGGAGATACGATACCTACTGCGTTCGTATTGTTTTCAAACTATAAGTGCAATAAAGTAACATTTAACAACGTTTACTAAATGTAGGTAGGTACATTATTTTGTGTTAGCTGTGTTAATGATGATGGAAGTAAGATATATGGTGCGCGCATTCGGCCATTATTACGTATTGAAAATTTCAGAAGAATCACTCGACCGCCTACTATGATTTCTCTACGTCACAATAACGAGCGAGACGTTGATTCTACATTTTCCCGCTAGATGTTGATGCTGCCATTGCTGCTGTGACGAGTGGAAATAAAATGGAATATGGCATTTTAGGTACACAGAACATTACAGTAGTGGTATTATTCAACTCTGAATTCGAAAAATCTGCGACAATTTCAAAACTGGCAGATATCATAATTCAAGGTTGGTAGAACTGATGACTATTTTGTAATCAGTTCTACCAACCTTGTCATAATTGTGCAATGTCGCCATCTATTAGTAGATCGACGGAACCATGGCTCTCACTGTTCTTGAGATTTCGAGTAAAATTTCTAATACAAAAGCGCATCAGTAATTACACCATATCTTACTTCCATATTTTCAACCTGTGTAGTTAAAAGTTGATTGAAGGTCAGAATAATAAACCTTAAAACTATTTCTAGTATAGGTAATCTCTTCACTAAATCATTGGTTGTGAAAATAATTTAGAATCTGACACAACGAAACCCTAGTTCAAAATCATGCTAGGCAATAACGAGAACAAATAACTCATGTATCTAATGAAAAAAATTGAACAGCCTACTGGCAACACATTTGTAAATGCGCCACTGGATATACTGATGATAATCCAGATTGGTCAATGCTCGGTCTTTGAGTGTATCTTCGGTGCTTCCTTTATAGTGAAACACACTGTAGATTGTTTTGTATTAGACAGGTTTTTGAAAGAAGAGTATTGTGGCGGGTAGTGAAAGTAGGCAATAGTGGCAGAACGGAATTAAATAAGAAGAAGAATATTGAGGCTCGAAAAGACTGTCAGAAACGTCAGAGTTGAAGTTTGCAGGTTAAATGAAGGGATGTTTTGTAAAATTCATTTCCTTTTCCTAATTTTCTATCAAAACATTATATAATTATCTATCCAGTGATAATGATTATCACCGACTACATATCTACACTTGCCGACAACCCTTATTTCGGGGCTGGATTCGGACTTTTCGGCGTAGGTTTCGGTGCAGCTCTGCTCAGGAAAAGTTACCAAACATCTCTCATTCTATTCAGAAGGCACTACATGATAACACTCGAAGTACCTTGTCGTGATAAGTCCTACCAATGGTTGCTTCAGTGGATGACCTATAAAGGGGCCAAACAAACCCAACATTTGAGTGTTGAAACTAGTTTTGAACAGAAAGATAGTGGCCATGTAAAGACAAAGTATGACTTTATACCCAGTATTGGAACACATTTCTTTCGGTAAGGTGAGTTATGATTTATGGTTGGTGGACATCAATTCCTCATTAGGGTAATTGTAGGTATGGAAGATCATGGATTAAAGTAGAGCGTACAAGAGAACAGCACACATTGGATTTGCATATGGGTACACCTTGGGAGACAGTAGAGTTGACTGCATTTGGAAGGAATAAACAGATGTTCTTTGAGATCCTTGAAGAAGGTACTTAATTTGGAATTTTGTCATTGTAAAAAGAACTCAACTCAAACACCTGACTCTGGTGCATGCATACTCAGTGTAAAATAACTAGTTAATTCACTTTTATCTGGGTCTCTGATGGATGACTCAATCAACTAACTTAAGTACCTACAATTCTAGAAGCAAAATGCTTCTTTTTCACTGAGGAATTCTTAAACCTTTTTTTCTATATAATTCAATTTATTGGGTTTACTTAATAACAAGTGTATCAATAATTTTGTAGAATATTCTTTCTTCAGTTCTAAACTTGTGGTCATATATACTGTATACAATAATTTTGCTAGCTAGACAAATGGCTCTGGAACGCCATGAAGGGAAAACAATAATGTACACAGCACTAGGAAGTGAATGGAGACCCCTGGGACACCCAAGAAGGAAGAGACCTATTTCTTCAGTTATTCTAGATACAGGCATAAGTGACAAAATCATGGATGATTGTCAAGAGTTCATTTCCACCCCATCATGGTATATTGACAGAGGAATTCCATATAGAAGAGGTAATAAAAAAGTGTATCCTATCCAAGGAAAAAACATGAATATTAAAACAAAAAACATATTTGCAAAATCTCTACCAAAAAATGTCATGAACAAGTAATGTTTGTTTTGTGTAAAGAGGCAAATTGATAACAACTGACAAGATTTAATAATGTTTATTTCAGTAAGTATACTTACCTACCATGTATTGGTTTCATCTTTCTTGTCTGAGTTTTGTCCTACAGTAATTGATACAAAATTTGACATATATTTCATCTCATCAGGGTAAGGACATATCCTCCTTCCCTGTCACTATAAAGTGTTTGTGAAACAGTTATATAGTTCTATCCTTATTCAATAATGGTGATAAACACTAGCTTCCTGACATTTCTTGTTTGTTAGGTTATATTGAGTACATTGGCCTATCATAAGTAAGTTCCACATAACTGACTCAACTAAAATAAAATATCCACATATTATATCCAAATGATAGTTTCCAACTCCAGCATCAGCATAATCTTTGTAAGATAGTGAACATAAAATTTAGTGAAAGTTTAATATAGGTATTTTACCAAAGGAGACTGGATTTATGTACAAAAATGTCCTCCCTTTTTTAACTTCATTGCTCCAATAATGAAAACAAGGTGAAGTATTTTGACAATGAAAACAAAGAGGCAAATTGAGTGCCTTTGACTTTTGAAATGCATACAATACTTGTAATATTCAGGGAAAACACTACCTATACCTATATGATCACTGAGGGAAGAAGAGTACTGATAGATACCTTTGTTGAGGTGGATTCATGCAAGCAACATTCAAAACTTAAATGAATTTTAAACTTAAACCAATAATATAAAACTATGAAATGTAATGTAGGTGCTCATGCAAGAAACTGAAAAATTAAAACTAAGGAAGATGGCCAACATTCAACTAAGAAATTAATTCCTTCCATAATTCACCACAGTGCAGCCAAATAAAAACTATCAGTGTTGGAAAAAAGATTGAACAGTTGATGAAATGTTATTGCATGAACACCCATATATTTTTAATTTAAAATTCATTTAAATCTTAAATTCATTATAATTAAGTTGATGTTGCATGATTCCACCTTTAGTGCTTTCTTTGGAGACACAAGTTGGTAGGTAAGTAGGTAGCTAAGCATTTTTGAAGTGAGGGTGGGCATTGAACAAAATATCAATTTATCATAATACATAGTACTTATACATTAAAAAACATGTTTTGTCAATGTCTATATTCAATTTCTATAGGTACATACATGAAGCAGTAGGTGTTGCAGGTTTGTGATATATTCATGGTGCTGATGTAAACAATCCTGTAAGTAATTTTGCTGAAGTATGGTATAGTTGGGCCATTGATAGAATACTATGTTTGGGATAATAATCCCAAATTTGCAAACATCATTCAAGATATGAGGAGAATTTGGGGTTGAAACTTACTGACTCAAAGAAGGGTTTTCCTGAGGCTGCAGCTATATGCCAGATGGGTCATTTCATTTATTATGAATGATCATAGATTAACACACCTCTATGAAATGGTAAATGCTGGACAATATCTCCTGGTCTTGGTCAGGATCTGAGGCACAAGTTGGGGGAATATGCCTCACATGGGTTAGCATTGTTTGGCCAATTTTTGTGTAGTGATTGTCCATTATTGGCAGAAAATTGACAAATTTAAATCATCCAACTGATTGATACAGTCTAATGCAGCACATTTTGCCATTCTTCTAAAAAACAAAATTGAAAAATATATGTACTAATTGAAATATTGAAAGATTTCTTATGCTTGTGGATGTGAAGTGACAACCATGTCAGGGACAAAACTAAATTCACTAGATCATTGAAAAAGAAAGGAGCTATGACCCGGCCATACCCTGTTGAGATGACAAATACATAAAATTTGAATAAAGGGAACCTAATTAGAAGTAAGAAATTGTCAAAGTACTGGTTACTGATTATGATCTTTGAGGATATTTCAGCTCACCATTAGTTCCTTTTTATGCAAAAGTTGTTGGCAACCTTTTCATTTTTAACAGAAGACCTCATATATTTCTAAATATTTGATTATTACATTCAATTTTTGTTAGCACATCATGTCTTATACTATTTGCCAATTTAATTAAGTATACATATATCTTTATGAAATCATGTAAATTGTTTGCCTTTTATTTCGGTGACTATATCTATGTTTTCCTCTGCATTATATTCCTGATATTATATTTAACCAAGTGAATTATTATTTTATTTCGCCAGAAGCAACAGAACTAAGAGTTTGAATTAGGAAAACTAACTTCCTTTCATGTTCTGGTATAGGTTTGGTGCAACTTTGATATACCCTGGAGATACAACAATAGTTACTTATGTGGTTTAATTAGTTTTTCATATTTTCAAGTGAAATTTTGAAACGTCGGAGTATTGGACCCGAGAACATCTTCAAGATTGTATTGTATGCATGCCTACCTTAGAGATAGATCTATTGTGGTCTCCTTCTTGGGTACATATATTTCGTCAGATCGTATTGTATCAAAACCGTATTTCATCAAATCGAATTCTATCATAATGGCATTCTGTAGAAACTGTACTTCATAGAACCAATAATTCATCAAAATATAAAGGATCATAATGTATCTCATCATACAGTTAAACGAAGAAATGTACTTCATAGAGAAGTAAAACATCATACCTTATTTTTTAGAATTGGTAATCCATCATAACCGTATTCCATCGAAACAGTAAATCATCAAAATCGTATTATATCGAGACAATATCGTATAGAACCTGTTGAGCATCGAAACGGCAATTCTTCAGATCCGTATTCCATCAAAACATCAATCTATCAGAGTGAACACTTATCGAATTTGTAATTCAGCGAAACCGTAATTTGTAGAAACCGTAATTCGTCAGAACCGTATTTCATCAAACCAATAATCCATCATAACCGAATTTCGTAGAATCGGTAATTCATCAGATTCGTATTTCATAGAAACAGTAATTCACCAAACCCGTATTTTATCAAAACGTTAATTCATCATATCCGTATTTCATAGAATCAGTAATTTGTCAGCCCCGTATTTTATAAAAACGGTAATTCATCAGATCCGTATTTCATAGAATCAGTAATTCATCGAACCCGTATTTTATAGAAACGATAATTCATCGAACCCGTATTACATAGAATCTGTAATTTGTCAAACCCGTATTTTATAGAAACGGTAGTTCATCAGATCCGTATTTCATAGAATCAGTAATTTGTCAAACCCGTATTTCATCAACATTAATTCTCCATATTGAATAACTGGTAATTCAGCAGATCTGTATTTCATAGAAACCGTAACTCGTCGACACCGTATTTTATCGGACGGTAAATCATCGGATCAGGTTGAAATCGAAATGATACAGGAAACTGCATTGCAGTGACTCGCCTAAGTAAATTTAGATAGTTGCGTAGGACACGCACAGATGTCGCAGCTCGATAGTGAGGTATAGTAAAATACGTCGAGAATTATTGATTTTACAGGAACAGCAAGAGATGCATTCGTTCATGACTATAATTCAAATACTCGATGGTAGGGTAGGTACCTAAACGAACAATCAAATCTTGCCGATATTTCGTGAAGTTGAAGTACACAGCAATTTCCAAACGTTCGAGAATAATTGAATGTTGCAATTATGTTATGTTATAGAACTGACATGTATATTATTTCATTTTCATTCATTATCATGATTGAACGAACCACTTTTTTTCACTGTAGTGATTTATAATCGATTGGTACATCCATAAATACTTGGAAAGAAATCAGGCCAGGCCTAAATAGGTACCTGTATACCTAGGTGTTATATTTTGAACATTTTATTTTTACCAGGTGCACATCCATGGGAGCTAGAAGGGGTGATTACCCCCCTCTGAAAGCAGGAAGGGTAAATTCAAGATCGCGGATCCCATATGGCGGACGAATTTTGTAATTATGATTCAAGTTTATTCAAAATTTGTATCTGCGGGTTCTCGGGATCAGAAATTCTTATTCTTTCGTCGAAATTTGAAAATTCAAGAAGGCGGATCCAATATGGCAAACGAGTTTTCTAATTATTATGATCCGCTTCTATTCAAAATTGAGATCTGGATTGAAACGGTTTTTGAGGTCGGAGATCATGATTCTTTCGTCGAAATTGTTGAACTCAAGTTGACGGATCCAATATGGCAAACGAGTTTTCTGATTATTATGATCCGCTTCCATTCAAAATTGGTATCTGGATTGAAAGGGCTTTTGAGGTCGGAGATAATGATTCTTTCGTTGAAATTGGTAAATTCAAGATGGCGGATCCAATATGGCGGATGATTCATTTCATTCGGACTCGAATCTATTAAAAATTTGTTTATGGGATTATTCGGGATCGGAGATTATGATTCTTTCGTCAAATTTGAGAATGTAAGATGACGGATCCAATATGGCAGACAAGTTTTGTAATTACGATCCGATTCTACTCAAAATTTGTATTTAGGTGCTTTCGAGGTTGAAGAATGTGATTTTGTTTGGTCAAAATTGGAAAACTAGTGATGGCGGATTCAATATATGGTGGAGCAGTTTTGGAATTAAATGATTCGATTCTATTCAAAATTGGTATCCATTTATTTTGGGTCGGAGATTATGATGCTTTTATCAAAATCGGAAAAATCAATGAAGCGCATATAATATAATATATGTACAGAGTGGGCCTTTGAAAACGAAACAGAGGCTCTGTGGGTCGCCAAACCGGATTATCAAAAAAAACTGAAACAGGTCAACTACATTTTCGAGGCGGACATCTTTCTAAAATATTTTCAGCCCTGCGGCGTTGCCGCTTCTAAAGAAAAGAAGCAACAACTTTGTTATTTCAACTGGAACACCTTGTATTTTATTGAATTTTTAGATTCTCCCCGGAGAGCTGATTTCATCAATGCATCACACTTAGGGTCTAGCTGTAATGGTTTCAGGGATATAAAGTGTTCAAAATCGAGATTTTTCAAC